GGGCGACGCAAGCCCGCCCGGCCGGCCCGGGCCTCCCGTTCAGTCGTGCAGCGATGTCGCCCCGCTGACCATTCCGCTCCCAAAACACCTCGTCGGTCGTCCTGAAGCTGGACGCGTGTCGGCGTAGCCCGCGGAGATACTTTTTAGATATCCGTGGCCAGTCTCTAACCTTCGACCAGTTAGGGGAATCGGGTCGTTTTTAGGGTCCTCAAGTGACGTAAATTGCCACCAGGCCTGACAACCATCATTTCACACCCTCTTCAGTAGAACAGTCTTCAATTCACTCCCTCATTAGCTCTCCCCTGGATGATTTTTTTTCTCTGTGTTTTCTTTTGTTTTTTTTTATGTTTTCTCTCATTTTTTTTTTTTTCTAATCTCTATAACACACCTTTTTGCGCGTATTGTGCTCTTTTCATAGTCTCTAGAATAATGTTTACTCCTTCCAGCAAAATAGAACCTTCCAGGAAAATACTTAATATTGTCTATATTATTTAGTTAATTTGAAATATAATGAAACTAGATAAAGAGATTAAAGCACATATGAAACTTTACTAAGTCCTTGATGTACTCACCTTTCCACTGTTTAGCATATTGTGTTAACATGTAGAACATTGAAAAATGTTTAAAGTCAGTGAACTGACTTTAAAGCCTAAGTTTAGCTAACATCCACTTCAACAAAAAAGCTGTGCCTTGTAGATTTAGTACTGTCAGCTGGGGCTAGACAATGGCAGTGTTTACTCTTCAGTCACACAGTCCCAGTGCAGAGACGAAATCTGCCACTTCTCATTTTCAAAGCATTTTACATACAAATCAGAAGGCGCAGACAGGTCCGCACCTGGCCAAGAACACTGTCCTGTGAGCTCCCCGCGTGGGTGAGGAAGGGAGGCCGGTCCAGGGCCGTCCCCGGGCCGCTAGGCCTGGTGTCTGCCATCCTAATTCTCCCCACTCAAAGCCAAAGTGAGAACGGATAGATGTCAGAAATACTAGTTATCCCTGCATGTTATTCTTGTTATGTGGACGATCACCAAAGAGGAAATGGTCAAAACTTTAAAAAGAACAAATCCCATTTGACCACTGTCCTGTTAGCTACTGCGCATGACCAAAGCCACAGTCATCACGCAGTCTTGTGTTGTAGCACAAGACTCGCTGAAGACAATCATCGAGGTCAAAGGCCTTTTTTCATTTTAACCATAGACAAAGATGCTAAACTTCCTACTCACACCAGTACCAAATTGAAGTTACATGGTACTGAAAGTCACGTGGTATTAAAACAGAGTTTCCACTGTGTTATGGCAATGGGGGTGACAAAAGCAAATGAAGCAAAGGGAGTTATTCAAAAAGGGGACACCCTCACACCCTCAAGGGAGCTACCACAGGTAGCTCATTCACCTGCACTTTAGTTCACATAACAACATGCCGTAATGGAGGTATGGATGTTTACCAAGACTAGCTGAAAGGATAGTCTCTCTCTCCCTCTCTCTCTCTCTCACACACACACACACATCAGTACACACAAGTGCATGTGAGTCTGTGTCAAGTCTGTACTTGAGCTGATGATACTGTAGCTGTGTCGACCTCCGTGTTGTAAGGTCATCGTGCTCCTCTGCGCTACTTCCTTAACTCCTGTGAACCTTAAACTATCCTAAAGTGAAACCCATTGCAAAAAATTTAAGGTTAAGTCATAGTCATTTTGCTTCATATCCCCATATATACTAAGTTCGAGAGGAGAAAGAACACTTTTAACAAGCTGCACAATGAGTCACGCGTTGCTAGTGAGGTTGCGCCTGTTATACGAGTGGGCACGTAGCACAAATGTTAATGTTTTCATTTCCGTTACTTCTTAGCGCAAAAAAGAAAATCAAATATTGGAACCATTTGTGAGTGTTAGATTTGCCCTCCAAGAAGACTGAAGAATGTATGTCAGCTTCCCATATATCTGGGGCTTTCCTAGGGGTAACTGGTACTTTTAAAATGAAACACTAGAAAATACTTTTCGGAATGGAACCCATAAAAGAGTACTTTATATCCCAATTTTATTCATCTTTTCTGAATAATCACAACATTATAATCTACTGGGGGAAATCTACTTAGTATAGTTGAAATTCCATTTATTTTGTCCTACTGATATGCATGTATTACACATATATAATACAGACTGTCCAGTGTTTTAAAGAACATAGAAAAAATGACAAGTCAGGTCTATAATTTCAAACAAGTCTAAGACAAACTCAATTTCTGAAACACTGTTTGCACACTGTTCCAAGGAAATGCACGTAATGACTGACATGGAGGCCACGCCTTCGCTCCTCACAGGCTTGAGCCACTGCGGTATCCGCTCAGACCCGTCTAGCTGGCCTTGTGCATAATCAAAATGGAGGGAGGATGTGATTTCATTCCATGGGACCCGCGGGAAAGCGTACTCTAGGTCAGGGTCAGAGGTATACTTTACAAATTGAATTTTTAGCCAACTTTTATCCTTTGAGTTCTACTTAGAAAAGATGTTGGAAAATGTTCCTGGTCTGTGCAAGTTGTTACCAAGGAACACAGCAGAACTCTCCAGGGTGAGCTGGCCTTCATCCCTGAACCTGGCATTCACCCACGCGGTCGTGTCAGTTAGTTTGAAAAAGCAAACGATGGCCACCTTGCCTCTAACGTAATGGTACGTGTCAGGGCCGGTTTCTGAAGTACCTTCCCACTAGTCTACGACGAGAAAACACCTACGTCTCTCCTTACACTCCTTCAAACCACGCGGTCACACACGCTCCGACAGCGTGGCTGCGCAGCCACACTCACTCCCTGCACATCACAATGGGGGACGCATAAAGCTGCACGTCCTGCCGTAACTTAGGGGGAATGTACATACATGTTTAAGGCCTTTGAATATTTATAGACTTTCGCGGAGAACTGAAAACCACAAATGTTAAGATGACTACAAAATGTGGCAAAAACTGACCTAAGGAACCCTGTGAACAGGCTACCGGAAACATTACTTCAGAGTTTGCGACCGAGGAAAATGGACAATTCTATCAAGAGGTCGAACAAATACATAAGCATTCAAACGGCCGTTGAGCCAGGGCAAGAGGCAGCCTTAACGTGAGAAAGGACGGTTAAACAGTACCAGAGACAGCTAAGAGAGTGACTCTCAAGCTAAGGAATCAGAAACCTACATGCATCCCTGGAAGTTGCCTGCGAACTTGACTGCTCACTGCTGATTTCTGTGAGGGGGAAAGTAAACACGAAAATGAAAGCGAAAGGGGAGGGCGCTTCAGGGGGGCGAACGTCTGTAATGAAACTGGCGTCCAGTCCTAACTACTACACGTTAACTGGCAGCGGCGGGAGCGTGAGAGCCTTGGGGAGACACGTCAGCCTGGCCGCACCCTCTCGTGTGACCGATGCACTCATAACTATGACTTGCCAACAACAGCTACTACCAATGGGTATATATTTCCATTCCTTCAACAAAAGCAACGTTAAGATGCTAAAAGATGCGGGCTTCCGGAGCTGCAGGCCCAGGGTCCGGAGAAACTCGGTCCACACCAGGCCGAAGGAGAAGCTCGCCAGGCCGCGTCCTGGCCCTCGCTCCGGGCGCGGTCCGTCGGGAAGCCCGCGCCCTGCAGGCGCCGAGGCGAGGCCGCCACCCTGGAGTCGGGGGCCCACGCGGCTGCTGACGGACAAACCCAGGAGTACCGAGTCCTCGCTGGCGCTTCAGAGAGCAGCTTTCAACTCCTTTGGTCAAGTGCAGTTTTACCAGCAGGACACAGTGCGAGTGTGACGCAGTCTGCAGCACACCGTTCGTGGCTGACTTTTTCAGTCTTGATTTCCAGAAGCGGCGGGCGATGAGCCGGGAACCCTAAGCAGGACTCGGGGGACCACCTCTGAGCGGCGTGAAGGCCGCGGGATCCCCTCCGGGGTTAAGTTTCTGTGCATTTGTGCAGCGTAATCAGCCTTGAGGGTCCCTCGCCTCATGCTCGGCTAGTGGGTCACCTACAGAGGGAGAAGAAAATAGAATTATTTCAAGCCATCGCTGTGATCTTAAACTCTAGCGCAGTTCAACGCCGGAGGCGATGGGGATCGTTGCTGTACAGGCCTTTGAGCCTCGCAGAACTGCCGCGCCAGGCTGTTCCGCTTGGGAACTCACCGATGCCCGCCTGGCTCGGCCAGGCCGAGGGAGAGCGGAGCCGTCACGCTACGCCTCGTAAACCAGAGCGACCTGGAGCCCAGTCCTCTGCAGGGACTCGCTCAGACCCGGACACCGTGGCTCCTTCCTGCGAGGCTCAGAGAAGGCCTCGCTCTCGGGGACACGGCGGG